TTGAATTTTCTTTTAGATTTTCCCTTTTTTTTTTTTAACCCACACATAATATCTAATGAAATACACATATTAAATACAATTATTTTAATGTTTGTTTGTTTTTTACATGTTAACCGTGAAAAACATTTTTTTAATTAAAAACATTTTTTTTAAACAACATTTGACTTTAATTATTACATTCCTTTTTTGTACTTATGCATTTTTCTTAATGTCATTTATTTTTTCTTAGCAATTTTTGGCAAAATAGTTTGATCTTTTCTCATTCTGCAGATATTTGAAAGGAAAACTGCACATTAAGGAGTAAAAAATGGTAAATCCTTTTAAAAACTTTACAGATTTTCTATGTTTTTGTTAAATTACAGGTAAAAACCAGTAACAGAGAAGAACTGTGAATAACGTCCACATCAGAAATCTGTTCTTTTGCGGTGTGAGATCATAAAATTACAGTGTTTTGCTCTTTTTAAACCAGATTTTTGTTATTTTTATCACAACAGTTTTTAAACGTTGCAGTATTAAACCATTTATCATAGTTTTTTTTCCCTCCAGTATCCTTGTCCAGATTTTCACAGTTTTCTTTGCAGATTTGATTTGATTTTTTTATATACCAGTTCTTTGGAAGACGACCTGTTGGATGAGCTGTCAGTGAGTAAAACTCTTCACTGAAGGGGACAGATGCACGAGTTCCCTGAAGTTAACCTCCGTGAAAGCAAATATGTAAATTGCGCCTCGTGTTTTTGCATGTTTGGCCTCGCTGCGGTGAAAGTGAACAGAAGGCCTTCAGCCCTCGGCGAAGGTCGAGGACGGCGTCGGTCCGGCTAGCAGGGCGGCTAACTGAGCGCTAACAGAGAAACGGTGACGATGGAGCAGATTGCGATGGCGTCACAGTACAGAGGAACTCACAGAGGGGGGTGGGGACTGCCTGTCGGCCAGGGGGAGGCTCTCATAGCCAGGGTTGCCATTGGAGGAAACGTTTGGAGTCCTGTGTAGAGATAGAGAGAGACAAGGACAGAGGAGAGGGAGAGGAGGAGGAGGAGGAGGAGGAGGATGAAGAAGAGTCGGGGTGAGACACATTGAGAAAGACAGAAGGGCGACGGGACCCGAGGACAGGTAAAGGAAAGAGGGAGAAAGAGCGATTAGAAATACAGTGTGCAAAAACACCGTAGAGCTACTAGAAGTCCTACTGCAGCAGGTTACAGTCCACCCCTGAATCCTCACATTAAAACACCTGGTGTAGCATCTCAGCCCTGGATGGAGCTTTTACAGCCAGTTCAGAGGAGTGGACTGTAGGTTTTAGAGGCTCTGAGCAGCTTGTTCTGTGTTAGTGTGAGCAGTAACCAGCTGGCATCACTAACTCTGAGTAACGGGAGGAAATCATAAGATGAGAAAAAAGAAGGAGAACCAAGGAGGAGGCCGGGAGGAGAGGCTGAGCAGGATGATGCAGGGGAGGCGCTGGGTTACCTACAACCTGAGCTTCGCTTCGCCGGAGTTTTTACGAGCGACGCCATTTTGAGACGAGAAATCTGTGAAAAGTGAGCGAGCGGCTACGTCGTCTGTCCGGGAAACAGCTGACAGACGCATAGACAGACACACAGACAGACAGACAGACCTCTGCAGCTGTGTCTGTTTCTCTGCCTACACCTGAGTCCATATTCACCTGTCTGTGTGTCTGTCTGCAATGCATGTGCTGAGTGTGCTGCTGCTGCTGCTGCTGCTGCTGCTGCTGTGTGTTCTGAACAGGAAGTATCTGCGCTGGCTACAGGAAGTGTGTGCGGAGGGTCACCTGTGTGTGCTGCTGAAGTGTCTCTGCTGTGTTTGTTCTGATCTTTTTGGGGGGACACGGTGTGGAGGCAGAAGCGCCGGCTGGATGTGGATGGAGCTGACTCTGGTCCTCTGAGATGTTCTGTCTGTCTGTCTGTCTGAGTGTCTGTGTGTCGGTGTTACTCACGGAAGAGGCGGCGCGCTAGAAAACGGGGGAGTCCAGCCGGCCCCCGGGTAATTATAGAAGGCCCCCCGCTGAGACCCCGAGGCCGTCTGTCTACGTGCCTGATGGGAGGTGAAGGGGTCCTCACTCTCGCTGTCCGAGTCCTCGTACTCCTCCGACTCGCTGCCGCCGGCCATGAAAGACAGAAACACAAGCAGAGGGATGATGAGCAGCTCCAGTCACCATAAATACATCTAAATATATCTGGAAAATACAAGAAAAATAACAGTTTTTAAACAAATCTGCTGTAAAAAATACAAAGTCTGTAACTTTACATTTAAAAAATGCATCATTTTATAACAAGATTCTAATTTTTAAACATTCTGGAGGATTGATGCTTGATACCTGAACGTTTACCCACCGCTGCTCGCTCAGAGGGAATCCAAAGTCAGCTTTGGATCGTTGGGTTCTCTGTTTAATACTCATAAGGTCATCTCCTGCCTAAGCGCTGTGAGATGACATATGTTGTGAACTGTGCTCTATAAACACAGCTGAAATAGAATATACATGAATAAATAAATACAAACAGTCGACTAGTAAAGATCATGTCGGTCTCAGTCTGAATCTTCTCTGATGGAGTCACTGAAACATGAATCTGTCACAAAAAACAATC